TATTGAAGTCGGCTTTTCGTCATGTCAGCCAGTGTATCCAATCAAACGTGTTCATCGTTCTTCCGGTCCGATCCCAGTAGTCGGGAAACACCAACTGATGCCAACTTCGAAGCGAGGGACTACATTCCTCTTAACCAAATCATTGCTTGATCCATTCCTTCTTCCATCCGGACCCCAGTCTTGTAAACCGTGCATAATGCGGGAGTCGGTGTGCTGACATGCGCAACGCGTGGCCCAGCCATCGGAATTTGGTGCATGATATAATGGGGCTGGGCGGTTCACTAGCTCTTCCTGCACCAAATACACGACGCCAAACACGCTCATTGGTCCTGCGGTGTTCCCACCACGTATGAGCTATGCTGCGAAGGCAGCAATGGTCGAACGTAACGCCTCTTAATGTCTGTCAACGTGATGGGCCAGGTTTCACAACTATGCAGGAGGGTTGATCGGACGGCTGCATTGTAAACTCTCTGATAAGACAGATGTGCTATGCGTTTTGAGGAAATTTGCCCACTAAAATCCATATGGCTTCCCCCAGCATTGGGCTTCGTACGATTCAACCATACAATGCGCTAACGGGAGGTTTTAGGCTTTACTACTAGCAGTGCGTGTGTGATTAACCACTGAGTTTGTGTTCTTGTCATATAGGCGGCAGATTTGCCTGCATTATCCTACATGTAAAGCCTAAACAGCTACCCATGTGTGGCGAGGCGTTTACGTCGGACGTTGCCTTTTTCATCGATCTTCATTTACGCTACCTACTGTAGATATTTCGGTTTTTCGAAAATAGTGTACAGATTTTTTGTTCAAACCATTTCCAAGGTGAAAGAGACTATCCTACTCTGTTCATTTGAATATAACTGCTGAGACTCTGCACACTGTTCCCAACTTTTTGCTGTTGGTCACGAGCATTTCCGTCAAGTGGAACCCGAGGATTCTGTTTTGCATTTGGCGATTGTTACCAGGCTGTTAACCAGAATGGTGATAGTGTACCCACGTCTTTTTTGTTTATCAGTTTGTAAAATTTTGCATTTTGTCTACTAATTTAGTATACATTTGCAGTTGATGATGTACAACGTTGAAAATGCACCCATTGGGGTACAATAGGCTTATTTTGACTTGACCACCCAGCGCTTAAGTGTTGCTTATCCAAATAGAATAAGCATAGATGACGCTATCACCTTCGTGCCTCGATAGTTTTATATGCCATCTTTACTTAAGCTTTTTCATAGGTAACTGGACTCCCCGGTCATTCTCTTATCCATGTTGGTTTATCGCCTTACGGCTTTCTCATGATTGTTATCTTCTGTGTAATCTGTAAACGGCTCCGGGTTATCCAAAAGTGATTAATTCTCACGTAACCGTTTTGACCCATAACTTACACATGGATCATTCCCTGTCTTTCCCGAATATATCCGAGTCATCTGGACATAATTCGGTTTTTCATTGTTCACTTTCATCACTGTACTCATTGGTGACAGCTTCATTATTGCACTTTCTCGTAGTAGCCCAACCACATGTGTACGCTGTAGCCGCAGGAATACTCGTTTACAATTTGAAACCGAGTCTGGCACAACAATTTACCTCGTGTATCAGGTCTCGCACTTATATTCCAACCGTATGGGAGTATAGGAAACATGAATACTTCCAGACAGCAAGTCTGATCGGTTTTCCCGAACCAGCTACTCGCATTCATTTCTGTTTGACGTGGGTTGAAATTTAAATTCATCGGGCTAGCCAGACAACCAAGTGGAAATGAACCTGACGGATTCTACCATTGAACTAAGCAGGCGTTTTGTTTCACTCACGGTTCAGCTCATTTACCGAAATTTGTCTACACTGGTGAGTTTCTCGTTTTCTTTAGCCACATCAGAAAGGGAACGTCATGATTCCCATACCTTCGTTTATGGGAGCGCCGTCTTCTATGGTTTAATCGAACTTGTTTCTCTTTGAATAATCCGGTTGTCCCTGATTTAGCGACATGCTATCAGAGAAGGCCAAAACGAATCAATTGGTCGGTGTCGATTTCGGGATCCGAACTCAACAGGCATAGACAAACGAAACTTAGTCAGTGATTGGTGAATTCGGAAAAACAAATGACCTGATTTTTGTCCTCCGGTGCATTTGAACGGATGGGCAATGTTCTATCGCTTGGCGATGTTTCGACAGGCACTTAACGATGGCACACGACATTGGTGGAAAACAATGAGCTACAACGGAGATGAAGACGCATGCGACATGGAGATGGTCATTCTAAACGCTGATGAATTCTGTAAGAGCCAAGTGGATGGTACATGTCACTAGGTCCTACTTTTCACTAGAAGCAGTCTCCCCGAACGCGTCGATCGACCGTTCCTGTTTGCAGTCTCATACGAGACACAATTGTGCTCCCTCTGAATTGAGCAAAGTGATTGGAAAGGGTGTGGTTGCCAAGATCCATAGGAAAACATATAATTTTAGTCAAGTCGCAATCATTGCGAAGAATACTGTCGACCTCTGTGTATGTATTGGCTTAAAACCACTGATTGAGGCTGTGCGCGGAAAACACCACGTACTGGCCACTTTTGATCAACCCTTAAAATATACCTATCCTCTTCATTCTGGCTCGTGGCTGTAGATGAAGGGTCCAGTTTCCTTAAGACCTCATTATCTGCGTTTACCGTTTGGTTTGAAAGTTTCCGGGGATACTTTCCTAAAAGGTTCCTGCTGCCATCCGATTGTCTAGGTGGTAAAACGTATGTGCAGACCATGTGCTGATCGATGAAGTAGGATCTCACACCATTCTCCGTTGTATCTCAGCCCTGTGTATAGCAGAACACCAAATGTAGACACAAGCGAATTGAGTCTCGGGATAACGAGGTAATTTTTCATTTGTATGTGCTGATATCTGATGTAATCAGGATTAGTCCAGGATAAATTAAGGCGATTCTAGAGATACCGTCTTTGGTTAAACGGTATGGGGATTTATTTACTGCGCTCTATATCATGACGCTTATGAGGCGAATGAGCGTTTACGACCACTAAGCATAGTAACGACGCGTCCATGCAAGGTTGTAACGATCCAGCTCAGTCCACAAAGGTACAGTGTGCTAGTAGCCAGAGCAGTGTACTACACAAATGGATTGGAAATGCTCGTCATAGTTTATGTCACGGAGCGTTTCAGCAATGATACTCTCGGAAAAAGGCGACTACACACTAACCATAACTTCTGTCCTAGCCAATAATCCGTTGCACAACGCCGCTTGTCCTCCTCAGCATTTGCTTATCTGACTTCAGGAGTCAAATTCGGATGTTGCTTACACGCGTGGCACACTAGTATTCATCACGAATGAGCTCCTCTCTACCGGTACCCGCAGCAACGGAAAATCGCGCATAAAAACCATACGTTACACAACGGAAGATGTTCGGCTTTGTGAGATGTAATCCTGAAATGGTGGCCAAGAAATTAGCACTGAACCTCAATTTTCTTAATGAAATATCTTTCTATGAAGATCTGATTTAGGCGATCATGCTCTGATCCTGCCATCGCTTCTATGAAGTATGCGCGTTTTTCGAACTTACCTAGTGTAACCCATAATATTATTTGACCAAGTGGGACTGATGTTCTAATCCAAGATGATAAATGGTCTCATTGATCATGTGTCCATCTATGCGACCTGCTGTTCGCACGAAATTCGGCAGACCAAGGCACCAGTGCAGCTGCATGATTCTCCCGGTTGACCATTCCAGAAGGTGGTGCTGGCATTATTCTGTAACGACGAGAACAACTACCTACTCACGGTGGATCACTGTGGCAATTGCTTTGGAATCGCTCCACTCGTCGTCACAACCACTGAAACAGTAACCAGTAAGCTCAGCTGTCAATTCGACGGACACGGCATCTGACGATGGCCCTCAGTTAATCGTTGTTACGTTTCAGGTCTGCGCAACTAAATGGAAATTCGCTCACATACAAAGCGGCCCATATTACAGCCAGTCAAATGGGGTCACTGTTTCGGCAGTAAAACAAACCAATTGGCTGTTATCAAGTGCCAGAGCTACTCCTAAGGACCGTTGCCTAACGCTTTTGGAGATTCGCAACACGCCATCTTCACATATCAGTCTGAGTTCGGTTCACAATCTATACAAGACAAAAACGCTGGTATTCGCTTCGTCCGCACTTTTACTCTCAACTTCGCTGCAACATGTGACGCTACAAAATAAGTGTAAGAAGGGGTGTGATCACCCAGAATCGCTACTAGGACCGCGGTGCATGGGTACTACCTGAACGATCTTGAGGGGAGAAGTTTGGTTCCATGCAGTACCAACTGTTCAAGCTCTGTGTGGAAGAGGTGTGGCGACTGCGGAGGTCGTTGCAAGGTCATCTAAAGCCAGTGTTGGAGGAAAGATAATCAAAAGAAACTGAGTGTACTTGAGATGACTTCCAGGGCAACAGAGAGCATCTGGAACTAGGCACGCTATAGCGAAGCCAACGCGGAGCGGTGAGGCGTACAGTACTTTTAGGAAGATAATGGTTTTGCATGATACGAAACGGAGGACATGATGGAAGTATTCTATCCGAATGAACGAGTAGATCTAGAGAACAAGTCGGACACTGGATTGGAGACTAATCTGATGAATTCGATCACTGGACGCAACAGGTGTGGTCCTCCATCTGCGCAGGTCTCTTGAGTGGTCAAAGTTCAGCGCGGTACAGCGAGTTTCTCGTTGTTTGTTTAGCTGCCTGAGGGGGTAACATCATCAGTCCAAGCGCATTGCTTTTGGAAATGCATGAGCAATGCATATCAAGGCGTTGATTAAATGTGCTGTACTTGACGTTTAACTGTCTTTTCTGTGTTCAACGTTTGTCTCTAAAAGAGACAAACGTCCCCTTTTGCGACGGTGTTTCCCCACCCCCTTCTATCACATCCGCGCACTTTTATTCACAATACTCAGTTGCAGTCGTATATCGCCGTTTTGCATCACCATCCCCATCATCCATCATATTTTACTTTTCGCAGTCCGGTGAAAAGAACGTTCTTCGCTTGGGTCCCCCTGACCGTGTACATAACCAACTTCTTGGGTATTGCCTAGAAGAAATGCTAAACCACAAAAGTGCAAGTATTGATCCAGATGACTTCATCCAGAATGCACTCGACCAGGCAGTAAGTCACAGCTTTTAGCTTCGGATCAAACTTTCATGGCCATCCGTTTCTGTTTACTGCTCTTATCTGCCAATCATCTCAACAAATATCTGTTTACGATATTCACTTACCATCAGCTGAATCTGTTCTGATGACAAAGGACTTAGTCCAGCGCATCTACTGCATTCCGATCCATTGTTTATGGATGGACGCAATGTGACAACATAGTCAATATCCGTCGTTTTGTCTTGTATCATTCACACTTTGACATCCATTGCCTGTCCGATTCACACCTTAGTATTTTAGCATTTTTCTATAATCTGCCAATTCGCAATAGCTTTGTGCGTGCACCAACGGCGTGGTGGCGTGCAACGTAATTCATTGTCTGTGCTTATTTTTATCAGTGCACTCATTTTCATGGATTTTGATCAGAGTCTTACAGTTTCTATGCCACTGTTTTACCTAGCTTCAATGCCCTTGTTACACCGGAAATGCGGACGGAGTCCCCGTCGGACGTTTTTACACGATGATCCGCCATATTAGCACCTCATGACATTTTCTCTCGGTTCTCTTAAAATAAGCTTACTTAAATGCGTAAGAAATGCAGTCGCATGCTCATGATGATACCTCAACACAACGGCATATTTTTGCGGGGCGCCCGACACAGTGTGTGCATGGTTTAATACATGTGTTTTTTACGGCTTTGACTTGCCAATCACCATCATCAAATCCGCTTTGTCAGCGCTGTACATGAACTGGAGATAGCAACTGCCAAAGGTGACACGAGAAGTAATCTTCCTTGTGACTTTCACTGCATGCAATATGGCCACTCTTAGTACACGGATAGGTCTGTAACGTGCACACTTTGATGATATACTCAGATCATGCCACAACAACAAACGGGCCCACTGTCACTGTATTGATTTAGCCATGTTATGCAGCCAGGACTCCCATAATTCCGTCTCACTTCCTATTCCTCAATATCTCTAAAATGCCTATGTTTCTAAATCTCGGGGATGCATGTGACTTTCTCCTATCGGACCCGAATGAGACACCTTGGTCACACTCCCGAGCTGGAACTACTCACTACAACCCACCAACTGTTTTACTCTTGATCACGACAAACTGTGGATATGGGTAAATTTGACCGTTCATGCAGCTCCATTACTGCTGATGGGCTTTCGATTGATCATACATTATCAAAGACATATTCATCTCACTCGCTGTCAGATCGCTTTACTTACTTGTTTCCCACAGGTGTCTAGCACATTTCCTGATTTCCAACCCCTACAGAAGGTGATTTCCGATGGATGACACACATCATTATAGTGTTAGTAACTTCTTTCCCGATTTCCACTTGCCCATCTGTTCTTTCTCTATGTTGCTCGATCTTTATCGCTTTACAGGTTGTTTTTGTCATACACAGGTCGAACTGGACTTCGTTTTCATTGCTTCTATATACCAATTGATTTAACCCATTCGTACGAGTGAATGTGCTCTGGTTTGTTGGATAGTCGGCCCTTTTTCCTTAAACTATATCTGATGGGTAAAACCTTCAGGTACAGTCTGTTTCGTGTGGAAAGCTACACCAACCGCAGTATGGGCTATTATTCTTCTGTCTCAGCGCGTGATAACTCCAATGGTGCATTCCAACCGATCTACTGTGTATCAGGGTGGCACACACGAGCTGTCAGATACCGCTTGCTGTTGACAGCAGAGGCAGTCGCAATTCGGCTCCATAACCCGGAGTTGTGTGCACAGAAGAATTTTGTGCCATCCCTCTGTCTACCCTGGCCACAGACTAACACAAGTAATCATACCTATCACGCCGTTTCCCACAGTCTCCACGCAGATCGGGCCAATCACCTTGCGTTATTGGTGGAAAATTTTGATTTATTTACGCCTATAACACAAGTGTTCATTTTCGATCTACATAGTTGTGATTGTATTAGCCTGACGATGATCCACTGAAAATAAGCTTGTTAGATACTTTATACGTCTAACGACGCAGTTACAGACGCACACCAAACTTGATCGATAACAGCCCGCATGAATGCAGTTTTCTGTCGAGGAGAGTGTTGTCGTGATTCGCTAACATGGGCTTATCCTGATGGGTTAAATTCCGCTGAATGCGGATTGATCGAGTTTCTGACCTAAGTTGATTCTCGTCTCGTTCTCAGCGGATGTACGTTCTACCTGCCTTATAATGTACTTCCGATACATGTGCGCCCTTCTGATAAAGCAGTCCACATTCCCAGAAAAACACCAGACTTAAGTTTCAACTTATTGGGTATCATCAACAGTGCGCATCCATCGGATCGTTCAGAATTGGAACCGATGACCACCAGCGGCTTGCACCGACAGGCAGCAGTTTATGCCACCGGGCCACGGAGGACATTGTCAGACCGTCATGATCAACAAACAAGCTGCGATATAGTGTGTCTAATCCTCCGCGAGTAATCATACCTATCGCGCCATCTCCTCAGACCCCACACAGCTCGGCCTTGTTGATGGGAAAATTCGATTTCTTGTCGACTATAACACAAGTATTCATTTTTGATCTACATAGTTGTGGTTGTATTCGCTTGATGATGATCCAGTGAAAACTAGCTTGTTGGATACTTTCTACGTCTAACGTTTTCTCGGGGTATTATTTCTCAGCTGAATATTCTTTTGTTATCCTGTAAAGAATACAAGTGTCATTACCTTTTCCTATCTCTAGTTAGCGACATTTCAATCTTATTAAGTTGGCGGCGATCCATCGGCTGGATGATCAGTACGTTTGAACTAATCGCTTAATGCGTTACTTTTTTCTTGTGAATAATTCGCTGATACCTTCTTTTAGCCCGATTTCTCGCAGTTACTTTCCATTCGGTCAAACAACTATGGTTTAGTCGCATTAACGAGATGAATTCGGTCACCAGGACTGGCGTCGTCATACTAATCTGAAGTCTATCGCATAGCAGTTTAGAACGCTACCTGAGTTAGTCAAGTACGCAGGTATAAGCACCGTTACTGGGTCTTTAGCAAGTGAATCCCTGCGAACAGATACATGATGTCCACAGATCACGTGGCTACACCATGCCGGATACTGTCTACAACCCCCGATGTGGACGTTTTAACGCCATTGCGAACAATGTGGTTGTTTTAGCTGTGTATCCCTTGCGCTACTTGTGTATGTGTGTTTTTCAGCTAACTACCTAGTGCATCCCATCACCACATTCATCCCTCTATGCTCATGTCTCGATTTACTTCCCTATTATTCGGTAGGCTGTGGTCGGTTGCACCGCCCTTGCTGCTAGCGGGGGTGCCACTCTTCGACACGCTGCATTGTCGCGCACTTGCTTTGACCTAGTACTGATCGATGAGGCAAGTCAATTGTTGCTTCCCACCGCGTTGGGCGCCATTTTATGCCTTCGAGCTCTGAGCGATAGTGGCCTTCAGGAAAGTCAGGCTGATGCCAGTCGCTTCGTTCTCGTCGGTGATCCGCATCAGCTACCCCCCTTGGTGAGAAGCTCGCAAGCGCGGTATGTTGCATGAATGTATTTTCCGAATACGTTAATATCCGGCTATCGACAAGTTGCACTATTGCATCGCACTGAGTTCCAAGCTCCTTTCACACTGATATTATTCCTAACCAAAAGATTAAACAGCTGGTATTGCAATCCCTTGTCCAGTACGATTGTATGACAGTGGTTGAGGTTTATGTTCAACTTTATATCTAGACCGCAAAATTGCTCTATGTTGCCTCATCCACATTACATCTACTACGTCACTCTAGCTGCCCTGACGAGTTGTCATCATATCCAACAATTTACCTTCACCTGCACTGCACAGTGATGATCTCTGATGTGGAAATCCTAAGATCGTTTACACGCGAGCCTTAATCTCTTATTGCAACATGGCTGCATGAGATTTCCAAACCCGAGTGGCTCTACTCATAGCTGAGCGTTTGCACGATTCTTGCCTCTGTCTTATGCTCTTATGCTCCTCATTCCGTACCCGCTCTATTTGATAACATTTAACTCTTTACGAAACCATTGAAAAGCGATTAAATTTATTAATAATACGCCACATGTTTTCCCAGCAGCTGAAATGTAAATCCAATTCGCCGGCAGCGCAGTGGTTAGAGCTTGCCCCAGTCACAAGAGGCCTGTCCGCGGCGAATCCATGTACATTCAGTTGTTCTCCTGTTTATCTGTCGAGCCAGGTTACATTGGTCTAAGGACGGGCGCCTTTCTGACAGGGTGAGAGAACACCATTCGACCTGGCTTGTGACTGGTTGCCGAGAACCAACTAGCCATACTCCACCGATACTGGGCATGCCACGAAGTTGTCCGAGTCATTCTTAGTTATCTATAAGGCACCGGAGAAGCGATCAAAGTGCGCCCATATGTGTTTACTTGAATCCACCGAAACTATCGCAATCCGGCTGAACGAGCCAGAATTGTACTTTCACAAACGGTTCGCGCAGACTTTAAGACTTCGTTGGCCCAGTCGGAATGTGGTGTTGAGTCCACTAAACCTATTTTACCAACCCTTATAGTGCGATCATCAGTTGGATTTTTTCACTTACATTTGTACAAGCCATGAAGAGGAAGCACGAAAAACATGTTCGTTTGCATTGGCTTTTTTGATTATTTGCGTTTACCGACCTGATTGACTTCAGTGGCGCACGTTATTAACACGGCGTCACTTTACTTCTAGGCTGCACAAGCCTGCCATCTGTAACAGTGACACTTTTCTTAACAAGTTCTCACATTGACGCTGTATCCGTCTAATGACTGCAACCGGTGAAGAGTGTCTTCACGTATTGTGCCAACTACCTAAGTAACGTATAGTGGGTTTTAAGTCAGTAGAGCTTGCGGTTCAGCGTCGTGACTATCCTCATTCGACTGGCCACTTAGTGGGCGGTAACCTACCTCCAACTGCGTCTCAATTAGTTGAGGTACAGGAAATTGAATTTCCACTGCTACAGCCGCAATGAACATCAACATTCGCCCTCTGTAGTTTATACAACCTACACCTGGTCTTTCTTATTTTTCCTTGACTATCCGGATATGATTTTTAGGATTGTGGAGTAATCTGAAACCGGGAACGCCTCCATGTCTTTAACGTGAACTGACCGTCGCTAGTCTACTACTTTATCTGGTCGATATCGGAATGGGTCATAAACCTTCCGGGTGTGGAATTGTTCTCACTAACTACCAGGGTTCGTACATGCTGCTGCCATCAGCATCAGGCTAGAGTTATAAATCAACACTCGTGAAACCGGCGACAGAGATGTTTTTACGCTGGAGCGGATACTGCAGAATCGTATGTGATGCATTCGAAAGTTATTCGTATCTACCATAGGCTTAAGTCCCGTCTTAGTGTATGTCGATTGCAGTGGACGACTGCTGCCAATGATGTGATGTACTTTTTCTCCTGATTCGCACGTGTTACCTGAAAGTTTCCATGTTTGATATAGGTTTGAGTCTACCTGCCTGCGTTTTCTTCTGTTCCATTGAACATATGTGGCACATTGTTCTTCCCTCGACCCAGACCATACGCCATAGACTATTCAGATTTATGTCACAAGTCATGAGTCATACCACCTAGTTTTCTCGTCACTTCATTGTAAAAGAGCTCCGTCATGGATGCAGAATGGTTTTCGCATCACTATGCTTATTCTCATCCGCCTAATCATGTCCGCAAGATAGTAGGGAAATTAACGGTGATAAACAAAACTGAAGTAAATTGAACTCTAACTTTCGAATAAACCGACGGCAAATGGCACGGACTGAAGGATTGGTGGCGAGAAGTAAGTTGCCATGCCCGAAGATACTAATGGTAGCTTGAATTCGGAGTAGCACCATCGTTTTCGCAATGATGTGGGGCACCAGCGCACTTTTTACCGACAAATGGCCGTTAATTTGGTAGCTCAATTAATTCGCCAAACAAGTTTGTATGTGCCTGCGGAACCAGTTGCATAAACAGAACGAATAGGGTATTAAGTTCTTGAATAAAGGTGCATTTGCCTAAGTGGGTTCGACCGTGCAGGAAACTGGCCTCACTCAAGCTGCTTGCCGGCGCAGGTCACCGGCCCTTCGATAAGCACACACTTATTGACCACAGGTCACCGAGTCGGGACATAATAACAATAATAATAATAATGTATATTTTCTCGGCGTTTACAATCATATTGCCTTACCACAATTCTTATTTCCTCCGTTGCAAGCAACCGGATTAAGCCGATGCTTTGTGTGCAGAAACAATTTTCGATCAGTCTTAGACTGTCCTGGAGATAGGAGGAATAACCTCGTCTCTCGTATTGTTTGTTGGTGTGTTTGAATGCATGTGTTTGGCTGCACGCTGTCCTGAATATATACTATTGCGAGTTATTGTTAAAGGTACTTGTGAGACAAGACAAAATGCCAATCCTCGTCTTCTTACTACACTTTCCAAATAAATTACATTGGTTTAAGTACGTGCTGCGTTCACCCACGTAGAAATGGACATTGTTTTGTCTACCGGATGCTACGATGGCAAGGGTTTGGAGTGGTAATACGACATGCGGACACACGGTGACATGTTGTTATACATTCGGTCCTCGCTGTGCTGGAGATTACTAAACACATACCGTAACGAAGATGGCTTGTGCGAGCAGCTATGGTGCTTGATCCGCCTGAGACAGGGTGAATTGTTTTTGGATGCAGCTTATCGCAGCCCGCGAAGTCAATGTCTAGATTGGTTGCCGCATGTTAAAAGTTACATGAGCCGGCCCCGCTTCCTGCTTATGGGCTGAAGCGCGCTGGTGACTTGGCAGTGTTAGAGGACTCGAGTGGACAGGCTCTGACATCCAGCACTGAATGTGCGTCTGCATTGGCGGCGCACTTCGCCTCCGTGTATACAAGTGGCCATGCGCGTATCCCTAACTCAAATGCCTGGAGTGCAATGTGGAACATGTCCGCAGTCTACGCGCCAATCTTGACGGCACGAAGCCTGCCGGACTTGACGATCTCCATCCGCTAATTCGAAAATCCCTATCGGTCATCATCTCGGCTGCTGTTACTAATCTGTTCAACGGATCCTTGTTTGAAGGTTCATTGACAAGCGACTGGAAATGCTCGGTAGTGAAGCCGATGCCGAAGGGTGGTGACGCGACTAAAGTGGACAATTATCGACCGATTTGTCTGACCTCTATTTTGCCGAAAGTACTCGGGAAGATTGTGAAAAGAGTCTTCTCCAGTTATTGTGGTCGAAAAATTTAACGCCCGCACAGTACGGTTTCGTGAAGGACCGTTTCTGCATCACTAACCTGCTGTTGACGCGGCACGGATGGTTGCAAGTTTTGCACCTGGGGAACTCAGTAGATGTTATCAACGTTGATTTCAGCAAGGCTTTCTATAAAGCGAGTCATGAGGTCCTCCTCCACAAGTAGAGGATGTGTGGTTTTGGTGGCGCACTAAACCAGTGGATCAGTTACTTCCTTATTGTGAGAAAATGGTGTGTACAGATGAATGACTATCTAACGGAATGGTACTCGTCCCCTAGCAGCGTACCCCAAGGCACAGCACGTGGGACCATTTTGTTCTTTATCCACCTCAACGGAGTACCTCAGCTTTTTCGCTCGTTCTGTGCATTGTTTGCAGACGATCTGTAGATTTGGTGGGTTAATGATTCCCCCGACGATTGTGACCTCCTTCAGCAGTACCTCGACCGCCTGTTCCTGTGGTCCGCAAAAGTTGACGTACCGGTTAACCCTGCCAAGTCTTCGTTTATGAACTTATGGTGGGGTACGCCCTGGTCGGCCACCTGCTGCATCTCACCAGTTCCGTAAAGGATCTAGGCGTACTCTGATGTTGTGATATGTAGTCTGCCGACAAAACGAACAGACTGTGCGCAAACGAACTACTTCAGCTCTGGGCACTTAGATGCAGCTTCTGCACTTGCTCTGAACAGATTGCCACTCGTCTGTTCTCATTCATGATAAGACCGGTTCTTGAGTACGGCTCTCCCGCCTATTGTCCGATTACAGAGACTGGAACGGGTCCAGCATGTAGCTACCGGGTTCATCCCCACTGTACGGCGTACGTCGTACCAGGACCGATGTAGGAGACTAGGGCTTTATACCCTGTCATATCGTGGGCTTTGAGTTGATCTCATTATGACGCATCGGATACTACACCTGAACCACTTCCTATTTTGAGGCCGCTGTTGCACGTTCGCGCACCAAGTAGCACACGGAGACACCGGTACAGATTAGTGGTAGTGGATTTAACACGCATCGCTCACCCTCTATACTTCGAGCGTCGACTGGTGAACTATTGGAACAAGTTGACTGAGATGCTAGTCGAGGCGAAATCGGTGTCGGAATTTAAATAAATAAATTTTTATTCTCGCCAATACGAGGCACAGCTTTACTGGCATGATCATGTTAGGCTAACATAGTGTAATCAAAAATGTACAAAAGTACATGTTTGGCATGACAGTGAATGCGTGTATGGATGTATATACGTATGTAATTGTGTATGAATGTAGCTTGTGAATGTGCTGCAGCCTTTTTGACTGTTTGTACTCGTCAGGAATGTGAGAATAAGCAATTGATGTCCGTGGGTTGGAAAGCATTTTCCGGATATCCACGGGGCAGTGGCTTTAGTTTGTGACGAGTCACATCCGTCACGCCGCACTGTTGATAAGCAGACATTGGCTTCTTATAGGGAGCACGCTTGCCAGGCGAAACCCCACCGCGTCCTGGAACACTGGCGCCGAATTATTTCCCGAAACAGGTTAAACCCGAACAACCAAGCTGATATCACGAGGACGTTGTTCAGCTAGCCAGCCTTGACGCCCACTTTGCGGAATACAGGCATAGGGTGCTGCAATATGCGGCTGTCGCGCGGGAATCAGCGACGTGATTCTGCGCATGTGCTCGATTCACTCCTACGATTGAGCAACACTGATCTTATCTTCTCGCTCTCTGTTCTCAGTATTCACGGATAATCTGGCCGCTGCTGCTTTGTTTGCCTAGTTGTAATCCAGGTAACAAGCTCTTTGCTTGTTACCCGCGATCGACCATTTGTGTCAGCTAAACTGCCCACTTAACCCATTAACTGCCATTATCCCCAATTGGGGATTACATACTTTAACCCGCCTGGTAACGCCATCTGTCGCTCGCGTAGGAGGCTAGAGTGTTCACGTATTCCACGAGATGTCGCCTGTAGCAGGAAACCAAAAGTGATCACATGCGTGCTCTGCACTGAGCACACGAGCTCCTTTTTCTGTTCCACCCACCTCTTTTCAAAACAAATTTGGCTGTTGATAGGTTAAAGTGCATCTTCTGTTGTGTGCGAGGTTAGCTTGATTATTGTGCGAGTTAATGAGAGTGGCAATGGTTTATCTCGCTTCTGCTCCAGTTTGTTCGCACTATTGTCACCTGTTTGTAACCTGCTACCGTGTTCAAAACGAAAGCGACACTTTGAAATAATCAGCCAGTCGACAAAGCGATTGCGATGGGGCTGCTGAGCGCACATACTAGTTTGTTTAAACAACAAATTACCACTTGATCTGTTTCGCTCTAATCGTTAGTTGGCGAGCTATGGCCAGTGAAGTGGGCACTTGCACAAGCTGGTCATCTGATTGATGTCAAAGTGACAATGAAAGAGCTTGAAGCACAAAGTATCTATGCTACAAAGTTTTTAAACTTTTACGGAGACTTTCATTTGCTTAGCCAAGCATACGGAGGAAATTCTATAGGTCACATTCAGTTCTATGGGGGATTCAAACGCTTCGAACCCGGAAAAATGTCAGTCGGTAAGGTTCACAAGCCTGGACGACCTTCCACATCAACAGACGATGACCATGTCAAAAGAGATTCCTTGATGTGATCCGTGTACATCGTCCTTTAACTTTTCAAATAGTTGCTGACGGAATGGACATCATTGTACGATCATGCCATCAGCTTTTGAGTAGCAAACTTGTGCTGCGTCGTGTCAGTGCAAAATTTGTGCCGCGTTTATTGACTGACGATTAGAAACAGGTAGCACAGTAGCTGAGGTGTTTTCCACCTCTAGCTAAGGTGTATAATGATCATGATGATGACGTTACTTATGAATGGAAGGATTTTGATGAGTATTTTTGTTCGTCGCAATCAGCCGACAATTCAGATATGTCGACCAGCTATCCGGAAAAGCACCAGACGGCCGTTTCGCCCTATTGGGGCTCATCAGTGGTGCGCATCCTTCGGTCCTCTGCGGAGGATCGAACCCATGACTGCTAGTGGCTCTTGCCAACTAGCCCGCAGCTTATGCAACTGCGCCATGGAGGACGGTATCTGACTATCGTGAATTGTTAGCTAAATGCGATATAGCCCGACGCATCCTCCACTGCCATGCAGATGACAGCGGATAAACGTGTCTACCCGGTGTTCCTCGTCAGAGGGGCTCCCGCAAATCGTAGACGTTTTACGACTGTCAGCGTGGCCTTGTTTAAGCAATACAACGCAACTCTCGGTGATCAACTGGCATTTGTCTAAATCTAAGTGACATCTCAGACGTCGCAATAACTCCATTCCAATGATTACAGCAAATGGAAGGTTATCGGCGACAATAAACTCGTGGCGGAACTTCTCGTTAGCAATGTGCACCTGAGCAGTGATAGAATCCCGAACAGCCAGGGGTTCCCCATTAGCAGCGGTCAGATGACAGTAACATGGTGTCCACAAATAATCTGTCAGCGACTTGGTTATATCAGCTCGGACTAAGCTCCTGCATGCCCCTGTGTCAATTAGACCTACCAGTGGCACCCCTGCTACGATTAGCTCTATCGTTAATGAAAATGCGGACGTTGCACTAGTGACGGCGGGAATGAAAACTGACTTCTCACGACCGCACTGACCTTGAAGATTTCGCCTGCCACGGCTTGGCGGGAAATTTCCTCTTCTTGGTGGAGGGGGGCGGGGCCTTCGGAAGTACGATTGCACTGGAGGTCGCGAATAATTCCCTCGAAACGGGACGCGATTCCAATTTCTTCGGTCTGGTGCTTGGAATCTAGCGGGGCTGTGTCGATTCAGCACGCAGCATGGTTCCATAGGGCCCATGGACTCGTCGACTTGCTCTAATTGATCTGCCACTGTTAAGGCTGAATGAAGACACGTAGGTCGTCGTAAACAGAACTCTCTTTTTACCGAGGGCGTCTGAATGCCCTCGAGCAACTGCTCTAACACTCGCTCGTCCTGTTGTTCCGGCGTTTCATCTGTGTAGGCATTTACCGCCATCCTCCGCAATTCGCGAACGAATGTTTCTACGTTTTCTCCCGGTCTCTGATACCGGGCATGGAAAACTCTGCGCAGTTCATCGGGCAGGCCAGGCCGATCTAAGATGCGGCGAAAGTTTTCGTGGTGACTTCTCCCTCTAACACTTTACTATCCGTAACTTTGTCGAATGCCTCTCCTGCTAGCAGGCCCATGATCACCGTACCCCGTTGTTGGGCTGGAAAGTGCTTGACGTACATTTGCACCTGTTTCTCCCATCGGAGATATGGCATGCCTAGAAAAAACTTTTCTGGAAGGGGTAACGGGGGTGTGGAAGGGGCGATTGTCAGATTTGTTGTCATCTTCCGCATAGCGTCCGACAAGGATTCCAAAGCAGAAGCAATCCTTACCCCCGGATCGGAGGTCAGCGGCTGAATTTCATCACCAGACAGTTTACCTGGCTTTGCCATTATCTCTTGATCCTGGCAGGGTCGCCAGGACCGAAGGATGCGCACCACTGATGAGCCCCAATAGGGCGAAACGGCCGTCTGGTGCTTTTCCGGACAGCTGGTCGACATATCTGAATTGTCGGCTGATTGCGACGAACAAAAAATGATGATGACGTGTTGAAATCAGTCAGGAACTACTTGACACTGCCGATGACAATGAAAAATTGCTTAAGGACATCATAACAGACGATGAGACTAGGATTTATGGCTATGCTGTTAGGACGAACGTGTTGTCTTCACAGTGGATGCGGAACATATATCCTCGTCCACAAAAGCACTTGTAACTCGGTCAGTGATCAAGGTGATGTTGCTCAAGGTTTTTGTCTGCAGAACTTCGTGCGACATGGTCATGGAGTTCTATTAGAGAATTCTAGCGCGTTTCACGGATGCTATGCGCAGCAAAAGGCCTGAACTGTGTGGAATCCAGGCTTGGGTGTTTCATCATATCAATGCACTGGCTCACGTATCGCTCCTTATCCGCAGTTATTAAAAAAACCAAACTTTCATCATGACCATTCCACCGTATTCTTCGGACCTAGCCCCAGCAAACATTTCCCTGTTTTCCAAACTTAAAACCACGCTGAAATTGCCTCGTTTCTAAACCATAGAGGGGATTCAAAACAATGCGACAAGAAGTGCGCACCATCCCAGAAAGCGAGTTCCAAGAAGCCATACAAAACTAGATGCACCATTAGGAACTGTGTATTGCTAGTAAAGGGGTTTGCACTAAAGGCGGCATTGCGTAGAATGTTGTCCACTAGGCAGTAAGAATGTTCTAGCAGAATTTTGATTTCCTTTTTAACATTGTTCGCCGTGTGTAGGCACCGTGGTTCTTATTGGTTGCATGTCGTAGAGTTGCACGATTTATCCTTCGTTCATCCACTGACTCTTGTAGTTGCGTGGCGGCTGTTCTGTTGCTCCGATTTTCGTTTTACTCCCCTTGTTTTTGATAAAGCTTCCTCCGTAAACTTAGATTATTCACACATTCTTTTCCATGCAGCAAGGCAGCATTGTATATTTTTCTCGTTGCTCCTTTACTCGGATGTGCCTACGTTCTCTGGTTCTTTTTGATGCTTATTGGATATGCTTTCAGTGATATTTCTCTTATTTTTTTACTTACCTCGGTACGAACATCCTGTTTGTTGCAGTCACGGTGGATTGGACCGCAGTCTTTTTCACCATCTGTTGGATATTTGTTCACCCTCGTCCGGTGCCAGCTCCCACAACAAGACTGCGTCTCGTTCCGCTTCTGTTACACACACAGTAGAACTTAATCTTCAGTACCGCATGAACTCACCCATCATGCGCTTGGCTAATATGCTCTCTTATTCGAACGCAATTCAATCAATCAACTCGATTGTCGCCGAATCCACGCTCGCTGACGTTTTGAAGCCACCCTCCGACCATGCCTACTCTCACAATGACGAAGCTGTGAGTGTTTAACTCATCTGCACTATCTCGCTCTATTTTTCTTCGGTTTGCATGTCCGTGTGTTAAATGCATTGCTTTTTCATCGGTGATTCTACCGCTTACTCATCTCCATCCAGTTGCCCACCTGCTCAACATAGGATTTTAAGCTGGCTTCCTTCAATTTAAATAGTTGTAAAAGCTATCATGCAGAAGGGTTGGAGCACCTTCGTGCATGCGCATAATTTGCATCTGAAATGCCTTGTTTATCATCCATTGTAGCGATACGATTTACTTGCCGGGCTCTACATTCGTTTCACCGTTGCATTGTCATCCCGTCAATAAAACGCTGTACATAACTACCGGCCGTAAGTAGTTTTGCCTTTATAACTCAGTTGATCAATCACGGGAATTTTAGGTGTTTAGATGTAAGATATTTCTAACATGATTTCTGAGAAGTGTGGTTGTATGCCTCCCTTGAAAGCTGTCTGCAGGAAAACAACCGGCATATTCGGAAATGCAGTACCCATGTACTCGTGGTTCTGTCTCTCGGCGGGAACCTCCTCTAAACTCTATTGGTGTATGACTCTACCTTCTCTCTCGTCTCATTGCGTTCAAGGTAGTAACAGCGGAAATCTTATTAACCATTTACAAATATGCTGCTTCATGTTTCCACCCAGCGCGTTTATTCGATCTCATGGGAAGGTGCTGATGATTTGTCCTCGCTTAGCCAGGTAATCTTCGTAATCTCGGCGTTCTGATTCATTTTCACTCATTATACACACTTGCTGCAGGTGCAAAACGCCTCAGCTGCTGTGCAGCGATACAAAAGAAAAGAAAAAGTAAAACACATGCACGCTGGCTGAGTTCCCATTAACGGATGGACATCATTCCGGAGAGCTAGCAGCTGACTATTGTGCCTCAAAAAGTTATATAATGACTATAAATTGAGATCGTGATTTTAGGCCAGGCTAAGCGGAGGGGGGTTGACGAAGGAACTCACAACACAAGCGCTATTGAGGTTTGCTCTTAGCCATGTCACAAGTGTATCCAACCAAACCTGCTCATCCTCCTTCGGTCCCTAACCAGAGAGCCGAGAGCCTCCAACAGAGGCCAACTTCCAACTAAGGGCCTTCATTCCTCTTGACCAACTCATCGCTTGGCTACCTCTCCTTTTCTTCCATCCGCACCCCGGCGCGCAAACAACGCATGTCGCCTAAGTCGGTGGGCTGGCATGCGCAACACGTGGCTCATCCATCGGCGTCCTGAGCTATTACTTGAATGTCTACAACACTTGTTTATATTTCAGATAATTCATCACCAAGACGAATTATCTGAATTATACCAAGCTTCCCACTACTCATTAGTAACTTGGTCATATTGTTTTCTCATAGTTCACTACAGTCACGCGGCTGGAGAAGTTTGGAAAAACTGACCATATTTTTGCCCTGCACAGCTCTGCTCCATAATCTTCCTTACTCCATCCCATTAGGTTCTCATCACGTACTTTGGATATACTCTTTATTGTTGTGCTTGCATTTATAGAGCATTTCATGTGCCGAAATCACTGACATCCCATTGGATCGACTCGTTTTACCAGTGATGCTTCGTTTATTCTTTGTGCATTGCAAATTTTTCGTCTCAAGGATATTGTATCTTGCTGTATCTCCACTGCTTTTATTTTTGTGTCACAAATGAATCTGCTCGCTGCAATATGCTTTCATCTTTTCCAGTTACCTTGTTGGCTTCGACGTGCCTTGAGTCCGTCTCTGTCTGACAGCGTTGTGCTACTTGATACAAAACAAGTAATACTTTGTTCACTATGTGTTGTTTACCAACTAGTCTTTTCATCCCTACATTTACGCCCTCCATCATGCATTTGGGGTGATTTTTCTGCCGCTGCTGTATGTAGTTTTCTTTACTTTAGTATCCATTATCAGGGCATCGGAAGGATGAGAAAACTAATTGGCAGGAAAAATGAATTGAAATCGGGGGTTTTACTTAGCAACTGTTGGAAGTCTTTAGTCAAAATTCTAATTATTGAAGTTAATGACCGAGTTACAAATGCATCACTATCTTGCTCATGGTGCCCTCAATGCCCTTACTCCTTATATCGACTCCATGGTTTTCCAAGATTATGTATCCATGCATCTTAATCCCAATTTCAGTTTGTCAGCTATGGTTCATGTAAGGAAGTGCGGTGAATCCCGTTGCTGTGACCTGCTTCATCAATCAAATACTTTTACTTGTTTAAGTCAACTGAGTAAGAAATGAGAGGCACTGATGGGGCACCTGGTAGCCAAACATAACGGGTCGGGTACAAGTGCATCACAGGGTTTTGACCGCGCATCTCGGGCAACGCATTTAATCACTTATGTGGTTGGTCCGGAGGTCCATATTCTGGTCTAAATTGAACTAGATTCAGCTTTTCGTTGCATTTCTTCATGCTCTTGTTTCATCTCATTTGATGGCGTGTTTTCACCCTACTGAGCGCATTGTTCTCATGCGACTCACATCGAGGCAACTCACTGATAGACATGCGGATAGATGATTCAAATTAAGCAAGCACTCCAATGACGCACAGATGGCAAACTTCATTTTGACTTTTTCCGTCCTCCCATCGGCCCCACTGCATAGACATTGGTTGCCGAACACGACCAGGAACCATCAACTGCCTTCATCGGGTAGGGGTCATCATTATGATCCACGCAACCTCACTGTTTACACACTGCGTTTATTTTAACCCTACTTTTAACCATTGTGGCTCTTTTTCGAACATAATCACCTTTCCCATTATGATTATTCCAGTTCCCTTATCAGGCCTCAATATTACCTCATTCTCACTTCGTCGTAATTCTATTTAGGGAATCCCAGTTGTGTTTGGTTAAAATTATGCACTTCTCCGTTTTAGTAACACGCAGTCGGTTGACCAGCTCCACTGGTTTAGTATTAAACCAACTACTTGCGTCACCAGTGACAAGTGTCAAACTGGTAGTCCTTAATGGAACTTCGACAAAAAATGAGAACGTGGTATTACTGAAGCCTGACAAGGGAAGAGAAATAGTTATGTTGGGACAAGGTGACCATGTTCGGAAAATGCATACACTTCAAGCTGACACGAACCATTCTGATGAATTGTTCCACGACATCGAAAGGTGCCTAAAGCTTCGTAGAGTCATACCACCCTTTTGAAATGCGTTCGCTAGTCTCTTTGCTGACGTGATCACCAGAGGTGCAGTGGCTACCTAAAGATGTACACTGATCATCCTTTTCAAATGGTCACTTCTTGGAGCCTGTCGGCCCTGTACTGAAATGCACTTCACAAACCGACATGCGCAGTTCGCCTGATTGTATGCATCATCCTATTCACCAAACCATACCTTCGTTATGCTCACCACGCCAAAATATATTCATGTCAACAACCTACATATAATAGAGCCATGGAAAATCATGAAATGAATGTGCCTAAGTATAACGACAGGCACAGAAACGGAAAAGGTAATTTTCGTGTTTTTCCTACCCCATTTTGTCTTTTTTATCATTTTGATGATTGTTGTATTGATGGGCTAGATATAGTAGACATATTGTTACGTCTCTTCCACTGAGCTTGATTTTCCACCATTCCCTCAAGGGTTTGCAGCCGTTGGCATCCTTCATCCCCGACTCCGCAGTCCGGAACACTCACGATGTCCACAATAATTAGATTGGTACTGAATGCTTTGACGTTTTTCCGCCATGCGATATGCTGATTACGCGCGATTTCTTCCAGGTAAATCTTGTGCGAGCGAAAAAGCGCCTTGTAGTAGTCGGTCGCACGGCATATGTAGCATGTGACTCAGTCATCTCAGTTTGCGCAGCGGTACCATTTTGGCCCGTAGTACTTAAGACTCGATGTCTGACATCATTTGTAAGCGACATACCGCCAGGAATTCTTGAGCTAACGCGTTGCTACCGGAATCAACAACAACAATGCCGGTACTGGATAACGGTACTATTTGCAAACAATTAGCAACACACACAGGTGCAATACTTTCTTCTTGCACAAGTGTATCAGCAACTTCAACGCAATCATAATCAAACCACCGATGTCTCAATGGCATTCGGCTTATACCGGACACTAAATTCATTCATTTTCATTTCACTATACACGTTAGCTGCAGGTGGGAAACATCTCAGCGATTGTGCCGCAATACAAAGGACGAGAAGAACAATTTAAAAAAGACAATGGCACGCCGGCTGAGTCCCCATTAACGGATGGACATCGTTCCGGAAAGCCAACAGCCGGCTATCGTGCCGCGACCGTGATTGGAGGGGGAGTCTAAGCAGGAGGGGATGGACAAATGAACTCACAACACAAACGCCATTGGGGCTGGCTCCTAGCCATATCAGCAAGTGTGTCCAATCAAACGTGTTCATTTTCCTTAGGACCCCAGCCAGGCAGTCGGGATACACCAACCGACGCCAACTTCGAAGTGAGGGTTTTCATATCTCTCGACTAAGCCATAGCTTGGCCTCCCCTCCTCCTCTTCCAACCGCACCCACAACGCGCAAACAATGCACGTCGCGGGAGTCAGTGTGCTGGCATGCGCAACACGTGGCTCAGCCATCGGAGCCTGGTGCATGATATAATGGTGCTGAGCGGTTCACTCGCTCTTCCTGCACCAAATACGCGACGTCGAACACGCTCATTGCTCACGCGGTATTCCCACCAGACATGAGCTAAGCTGCGAAGACAACGATGATCGAATGTGACGAGCCTCTTCATGTCTGTCGACCTGATGGGCCAGGTTTCACAGCCGTATAGGAGAGTTGAACGGACGGCTGCGTTCTAAACTCTGCCCTTCATGGCGAGAGTAATGTCGCGTCTGCGCCACAGGTGGCGGAGATTGGCAAAAGCACCTCGAGCTTTTGCTATACGGTTCGTAACCTCATCTTCAATCCCACGGGTGCTAATATAGCTGCCCAGGTACTTGAATTCCTGAACGACTTCTAGCAGATTACCACCAAGCGTTAGCGCAGGGTTGGGTCCCTGCCAATCTTGGAGAAGTACTTTGCATTTTGATGGAGCAAAGCATAGCCCAAAACGATTGACAGCCAGTGCTATTTGATCCAGTGCTGCTTGGCACGTTTGACAGCTGTCACAGATTAGGGCAATATCGTCTGCATACTCCAAGTCAAGAAGTCGCTCACCAGGAATTATCTCCACACCTTCTAGGTCGTGTCCAACGAACCCTGTTTCCATGACCATCAATACCGAAGTTAAAGAGGAAAGGTGACAACGGGCATCCTTGTCTCACACCGCTGATGTTACTGAAGGATGGCGACAGTTTGCCACAAACTCTCACTCTGCCCGAACTATGCGCGTACAGCGCTTTGATAATGTTTACGCTTTTATCAGCCACACCTTTCCTCAACAGACAGTCCCAAAGGGCACGTCGATCGACTGAGTCCACGGCACTTTTTATGTCAAGAAACACGACAACGTTGGGTCTCCAATAAGCATGGCGGTGCTCCAACACTTGACGCAATGTGAAGATGTGGTCGATGCAACCCCGACCTTGACGAAACCCGGCTTGCTCTTCACGAATCCGGCTTTCACGAGTGCCAGTCAGTTTGTGGAGAATGACAGACGCAAGGAATTTAGAGGCAATTGAAATCAGACTGATCCCTCCATGATTGCCGCATTCCAAACGGGAGTTTCCCTTGAAAATTGGGACAATGACGGAGCGGCTCCAGTTTGCCAGGACAGTGTCCGGTTCCCAAAGTTTCACTAGTAATTCGAGTAAATCGTCTACACGAGCAGGTCCCCCGAATTTGAAGAGGGCTGGAGGAATAGTATCTGCTCCTGCGGCCTTATGCAATTTCAACTGTCTGATCTCACGTTTGACTTCTGCGCGTGAGGGCGGATCCAAGGAGACGGCCCAGGGAGAAGGGCGCTCGATGCCCGAAAAAGAAACCAATAACTTAGGTTGGTTAAATTGCCTTGCTAAGTGTTCAGCCCAACACTCCAAGGGTTTGGACAGGCTGTGGATCGGCTGCCCTCTCTCCTTGCGTATGGTCTCGCTAACACCAGGTCTCCTGCTGCTTGTTTCCCCTATCACATGGAATAACTTACGATGAATACCAACGGTAACAGCTGTTTCCATCTCAGAGGCACGATGAGACAACCAGGCTTCCGCGGTCTTTCTTCAGGCTAGCACGCAGTTTTGCCCGACGATTTTTGCTAGCCTCATTGTATTCGCTTCCAGCCGGAATACGTCGGCGAGCATCCATAAGTTCCAGAGACTGTGTAGAGACCCAGTGTGCAGCTGGGCAATTTGATTTTCCACATGAAGACACACCTGCTGATAGTAATGTTTGACATATATGTGACCAGCGATCATCGACGGTGTTAGTGGGCGCTTACTCAGCCCAGATGTCAGCGCACACATTCAGAACACATGACTTCACCAGCTGACTTGTGTCAATCCGTTCACGTCGACATTGCGGAAGCCCACCGAAACGCACCAGGAGGTCGGCGCAAACAATTGCGTGGTCCGAGTCCACCATCGTGCTCCAAATCGAGCGACAGTTTTGGACGCAGCCTCTCCAGCGGTGACTGATCGCGAAATGATCGATTTGTGTCCATGGCTGGCCCGTGGCTGGTGGGCGCCAAGTCGCGCTTCTGTGGGTGATGTGTCGAAATTTTGTACTCGCGAGAAAGAGACGAACATCTTCACACAGCTGTAACAATCGCTCACCGTTATCATTACGGGAACCTACACCATATTGGCCGCCCAGATGAAGCTCATCAGAGGACAATTTT